CAAACCACACAGACCAGGAGAAACACACAGACACAATTCAGAGACTGAGCTTCAAGAGGAAGCAACGTATAATCCCTCTGGCACATGGAAAGAACATGAACTTGGAGCCACATCCTTACCCCAGGCACTGCCCAATGGGTTCCCAGGCTTCCTGAGTGGGGTGTCCATGTGGAGTCCACACCACTGTTCATCCGAGGACCTATCATCTGGACACATCTGCTCATGACATCATTTGCATTAAGCTGCTTATTCCATCCTCAATTTGGGGGATTCCAAGCCTAGTTTCAACAGACCAGGGTTCTAAAGCCATTTGAAAGCCATAAGCTGAGCTCAAGCAGAGAAAAAAAGACAGGCAAAACTACAGGAGAAACTTGGGGTGTGGAAAAGAGAGATGACCTTCAGCTCCTTAACCAGATGATGGGCTTTTTGAGGACAAGGTAGGCATCCTCTACTTTTTCCCTGGCTCTTCACAGAAGTGAGTGTCAGCTCAAAGCAGAACAGGGCTGGGCTGCTTAAATACTGGTGAATCACGAACTAGCTAACAAACCACACAGACCAGGAGAAACACACAGACACAATTCAGAGACTGAGCGTCAAGAGGAAGCAACGTATAATCCCTCTGGCACATGGAAAGAACATGAACTTGGAGCCACATGCTCCTGTGTTTCAATCCCACCTCGGCCATTTACCTGCTACGCAGTCTTCAGCAGTTTGTTCTCTCTCAGAGGCCGTTTTCTCCTCTTTAAGAGTGGGATGAATACATTTTCTTATTATAAGGTTGCTGTGACAATTATTAAATGAATTAATGAGCTAATGTATATATACAGCATCTAACCCATGGGTTGGCAAATATGTGGCATTCAAAAACCAGTGGTCCTTTCTCCCTTCCCCCAGGTTACAGCTGGTGTACTGCTTTGCTACATGGCTTTGGACAAGCAGGGCTTTCAAATCTGCTTTGTAAATCTACAAAGCAGACAATGCCTGTGCAGATGATCATACACCGGCTCTATGGTAATAATTCCTCTCAAGGAATTATTACTTACTCTTAAAGCCAGGCTCCTGCAAGATCCCAGACCAGCCAAAACACCTCTGGGCTTCCCTCTCTCCTGCCTCTGGCATAGTCTCCTGAACCAAAGCNAATTTTGGTTTAGCTGCTGATAGTCCAAGGATAGCACATCCCTGGTTGCATTTATAAAATTGCTGTCTGACATGGTAAGTGGGGCACACATGGAGAGGAAAGGACTAAGACAGCAGGAGGGAGCAGCATCTGTTCCGTCCTGCCACCCTCCTGCAGCCTTCTGCATTTACATCCAATACAGACATGGTCTGGATCCAACTGCCATCCCGGCAGGCTTCTGCAGGCTGGAGGAGATGTGAAAATACAGGAGGCCTGGAGGAGGGGAGGCGGAGCAAGAAGGGGGAGGCAGCAGACAGGGTAAGGTTTTGCCTGAGTTATAAGATGCACCATTTGTCTGGGTGTCTGTTTGCAAAGTGCTGACAGCTACGCACACTTACTCCAAAGACACTGTTGGCTCTGGTGGTGTCTTAAGTCCTGGAAGGGCTGCCCTTTGCTGTAGTCTGTGGTCCTCTCATTAGAAACAGAAACTCGGAGGGTGACATGCTGTCTCAAACCTAACGCCCAGCCTCTGGTAGAAAGGTGGGCTTGGGGGGCAGCAGGGAAGGCATCACTTCAGCAGAAAGGAGGTAGACAGCATAAGCTGTGATGGGGACTAGCTCTAACTGATGCCACCCATGTCCCCCCACCCACCCCTGCAGATCTCAGTTGCCACAGAAAAAGGTGGCTAAGCAAGGGCACTGCCTCAGTGGCCTGGACTCGGTGTTGGGGCAGGCAGTGGGGAAGCAAAACAGTTCCTGGTGAAGCTCCATGGCCTGTCCCCATCAACCCACAGCTCTGTGTCCTGAGCCTACAGTGTCTGTGGTGGCCTGCTGTGATGTTTCTGGAGACAGGAGGCTCAGCTTCTCACTGACAGGCTGAGGGGCTTAGGAGTGTGAATGCAATGAACCAAATGGATCATTTGGGAAATTGAAGGCCTGGGAAACTGGGTGGTTTCTCTCCTTGTGTCAAAGGGCAGGTGTCTGCTCCCAGTGACCTGAGCTGACAATGAGCTGAAGAACTGGGAGTGGGGGGGAGAGGTGATGAAGCCTGAGTGTGGGAAGGTGTCTCTTGCTGGGGTGAAGAAGGGGTGAGGCACAGGCTCAGGAGCGGATGCCTGGGGCACTCCAGACAGCAGTGGCCTCGGAACTAAGGAAGAAGAGCCAGAGAAAAGGGCAGAGAAACGGAGGACTTGCTCCTTAGGAGGCTTCCGAGCTGGAGCCACAAAATCAGATTCACATCTGGAACCTGGCCAGATGCTCAGAAACAGCTATGCAGTGTTTCAGTGACATTTGGAATAAATCACTCTAAAAACACACTCCAGCCCCAAACCCAAAATGGTCAACTGTGCAGGTCCCAGAGCTGGACTGCTGGGATTCAAATCCTGACACCAGCACTTTCTTAGATGGAGGCATTGAGAGAGTTCCTGAGCCTCTGTGTACTTCTACTCTGCTGTCAGTAAAATGTGGGTAATAATGGGCCTGCCTCACAAGGCTGCTGTGAGGGGAATGGATGGACCTGCACATCGAGTGCAGAGCACAGTGCCTGGCACGTGGGGAGTACTCAGACGTCGACTGTTATAATGCCAGATCAGCTCCCTTCTCCCAGACTGCTTGTTCCCTCCACAGCTGTATGTCCCTGCTGGAGTGTCTTCTCTGCACTCTTCTTTTTCCTCTTTTAGGTTCCTCTGTGTGTCTGAAAGTCCTTTGGCAGGTGTTCCTCCTTCATGATGTGTGGATGCCTGAGACTGAAAGAGGCACTGGGATGTCACAGCAAGAAAAACAGCCCACAATTCGCGGCATCGAAGTTCTAGTAGGAGCTCTTTTGCTAATTAGTTTTGTGAACCTTTGGTGAATTAACTTATCAGAGCCTCAGTTTATTCATCCATCAAATGGGAATAATGATACTGGCCTTATTCATATCACAGGCTTGTTGTGAAAGTCAAATAACACAACCAATGTAAATGGACGTATTATAAAAAGGGTAAAGCTCTGAACCAATATTCAGGATTGCTGGTTAGACTGGAAGTGTCCAGAGGCACACGCTGGAACGAGTTTACTCTTGTCAGGCAGGATGCAGCAGGGCGCGACCATGCCAGCTAGATGTGCTGCTGGGCAGTGATGTTGCTGTCATCAGAGAAGGGAGGCCCTGGCTTCCCCAGGCAGGAATCGGGTTGGGCTAGAGTGTATGTGCTCAGGGAGGGCTGTGGAGGGGATTTGAGGGGATAGGGACAGAAAGTAGGGAGGGCGCATGAAAAATTGCCAAGGGAGGGGGCATGGTGACACAAAGCTGGCCTAACTCCCTCACTCTGTCACAAACCTGAAGATCTGTTCCCATGCAGTTTTACATTATTGTGTGCTGATTTAAATAAACCAGTAAACCGCTTTGTGATCAGAGTCCTCCACATATAGTAAAAGAAAAGTATGGTGTGCCTCACCCCACCCCACACACACACCGTCAGTCAGTACATTCAAGTTCAATATTTCATAACAATGACAGGGTGAAAAAGCCCCTGCGGTCAGATGAATTTCCCAGGTGGTCCCTAAGACCTGACACTGTTCTGAGGCAAGCTGCAGCCCTAAAAAGGGTCTACACGAAAACTAACTTTATAAAACATGTACATCAAAAGTGCTGTGAACAGGAAAAGTAATGATAATAATAGCCTTCATTTACCGAACACCTACTATATACCAGGCACCGTGCAGGGCTCCTTATATGTTTGGTCTTCAATTTAATCTTTAGAACAAGATGTCCATTATTATCCCCATTGTATAGGGGGAACTAAAGCCTAGAACTGTTAAAAAACTTTCCAGAGGGCTGAGCCCGTGGCGCACTCGGGAGAGTGTGGCGCTGGGAGTGCAGCAGAGCTCCCGCCGCCGGTTCGGATCCTATATAGGGATGACCGGTGTGCTCACTGAGTTCACTGGCTGAGCGCAGTGCGGCCGGTCTCAAAAAGGACAAAAAAAACAAAACAAAACAAAATAAAAAACTTTCCGGAGGTCACAAAGCAAGGGGAGCTGGATTTCCATCAGGTCTGTCCAGATCCCCAATCCGTGTCATCAGCATGCTCTGCTTGCACCTTTCAGCCCCCTTCATTCTTCCCCGCAGCCCCATCTCCAGCTCTTTCTGGGAAGGAAGAAGACACCTGGAGAGGGAACTAGAGCAAGAAAGACAAACTACAACGAGGCAGAGAAGCCCAAAGAATAACGGGACCTTTCTCTGCTCAGGCCTCCAGGTCAGCGGCCCCCAGGCAGCCAGCCTGTGATCCACTGCCAGGTACTCCTGTCATAATTGCAGCCCCCACTTCTTGTGTGCCCTCCCCAGCCACCCTGCTTGGGAGTTAAACAGGAGCTGCTGGTAGCCGCAGGAAATCTGAACCCCAGAAAGGGACAATGCAGACCCGGACACAGGGTGTGGCTTCAGTGCTGTGAGCCTCAGCCGCTCACTGCTCCCTGGACAGCTGTCCATCTGCCAGGGCCCGATGCCCCTCCCTGAGGCGGGGTTCTTAGACTGCCCCCCATATGCCAGGGCTGTCACTCAGGAGGCTCCCAGGTTGTGGAGGCCCCGGCTAATGGGGGATGCAGGCCACAGACAAAGCTGCTTCCCATTTTTTAAATTAAGGTGGACAGTCGGGACAATGGCTTGACTGCACCTGCTAGGGAAGGGGGGGCAAATGCTTCCCCAGCACCAGCCTCCCTGCAGGGAGAGCCTTGAGATGCAGTTCTGTGGCTGGCTCTGAGCTTCTATCTCCGGAGAGAAGGAAGGAGATGACCCCTCAGAAGATTCCCGGTGCCAGGCAAAGAGCCTTCTCTCATCAAAGAGAAGGGGCAGGAGACAAGAATTCCACCCTCCCCCAACTCACACCCCAGGCCCAAGACCCACTCACCTTCTCTGCCTCATTCAGCCTCCTCCTTGCAGCACCAGAGGAGGCTCCGTTCTAGGCTGCAGAAGGAAGGAAAACTCCAGCGTCCCAAATTGCACATAAGTCAATCAACCTGTCTCAAAGCAAGCACAAAGGAGAACACCAGGGTTACACTAGGAAGGGGGGGAAAAAAGGCTTTGTGATTTGCAGCTTGTTCATTCATGGGGAAATTACATCTTTATTCACGTCCATTTGTAAAGTATTGCACGGCATAACGGCATCTTTGTTCAAAGAAGTTCAAAGCACTCTGCAAGAAAAGAGATTCTGCAAGGTGCTTACACATGTTGGACTTTGGGGAGGGGGTGACTGTCTCTCTCATTCATAAAATCATTTCTTAGTGCCCTGACAACATAGTCTAATTGCTGATTCTCTGTTCACTTAAAAGAGCTAAACCATATCTTGAAGAATCTCTCCTACACCCAAGGGAGAATTTACCCATAATTATCTTATTAATTTCTTAGCTTCCATAGAACTACTATGTTTTTCTTGCCTACCTACAGATAAGTAAATTGAGTTCACCATAAATAAATCTATA